AGGTGGTTCAGACAGGGCAGGACATCACACACACACACACAAACTGCAGCCTGGTTCTTTCCTGTTTCTCATTAATGAAGGACTTCTTCCTTGCTTCACACCTGCCCTTGTTTCCCATTCTTTTTGAAGGTCACTTGAGGTCATCCTCCGATTTATGAGGCATTGCCAGATAAGTCGATGGTCATCTCTGGCATTAGAATGTCGCTTCTGCCCTCTACCTGGCTGGTTTCTGGTCGTTCCCAGTGTCTCCTGCTTCACCTTATTCTTGTGTTCTGCTGTCTTAGAAATTCTGAACCTGGAAGTAACCTGCTGCTCAGTGTAGCTTCTGCCAACAGAACCAGGAATAAACCAGGATTTTATATTGCAGATTTTTTAAATATAGAGTGGTCTTATTTTATTTTCCAGAGCTGTATATTTTTGGTTAAAGACATTTAGTGATTTATCCCAGATTTTCATATACATTCAGGAAATTTTCACATATCGTTCAGCAAATTTTATCGCATGACACCCTCCCAGCTCAGCAAATGTAAGTGTGGGGTAGCCAGATAAAACCCCAGAATCCCTCTTGTGAATGGGTCTAACTCAGTGTACCCCTCACTTTGGGGGGGGGGGGACACAAACAAACAAACACAAGCTTCTGGATTGTAGAAGGAAGCAAAATGCTTGCACACAGATATGTTGAAGTCATGCTCAAACCCTGGACCTTTAAGTCCACCATCTATCTGCAGACCTTCCCTGAGCCCCTAAATGTGGGGCATTAAGTTAAAAGGGAGGGGTTAGGCGTGTGAGTGCGATTCGTGCTGAAGTCTTCGTTAGTCGATTTTTTGTAGTCTTATTTCCGTTTCTGCGCCAGATGCTTACTTGTCACTTGGCGGCTTGTTAATAGGATGCCCCCCCCCCTCCTCCCCCCACCTCCGCAAGTTACTTCCTCTCGGAGGGATTTCTCAGCAATCAACGGAAAAAGCTTCATCTTGTCAAGCCAATATTTTTAGGAATGGGATGGGAATCAAGGTGTTACAAAAGACCTTATAGGAAAGAGACAGAAAAAATGCACTTTTGGGTGGGTGAGATGTACTGTGCAATGCAGCACTTCCCTGATAAGGCGTTCCATGGTTACTGGAAAGTGGAAATCAGAATACACCTATATGAACAACCACTGGGAACGAAGGGCAGGAAGAATTAATCCATATGGATGATCATGGATGCCTGACTCCCTCCTAGCATAGGAATGGGAGCACTGGCTATTTGGTCAGGGGCAATTCTAGGGTTTTTTAAGGTGGGGGGAGGCATAAGTCATACACCTTATCGTTATCCAATGATATATTTTGAATCTGTGAGTGACAGGGAAGATGGCACTCTGGTAGCCAATCAGCTTTCAGCTGGGGCCAGAGGGCCCTCCCCTGTATACAGCTCCCTATATGGTTGAGCTTGCAAATGGACTCCCCAGCTGGGACAGCCGTGATCCATTTTCTCCTGACAGGATCTTCTCGATCTTCATGGGGCGTACTCTGGAGGTAACATCTCCACCCGACAGGGCATCAGGACACACTCATTGGAGGACACTCACAGAGTGGTGCACACTAAGGAGTTAACCGGATCTCAGGACTCCCTTCAGAGGGATTATTTTGGTCCGGTCTCCACACATGTCACTCCCAGACGGACAATTTCCCCAGAACACTGGCCTTGTGCCTGTGATCCGACCCCCGCTCCCTTATTTGGTTTCTTAAGGGCCACAGTCACTGCGCGGAAGCCACTGGATGCCACAGTCCAGGTTCTGGAAGGCTCCAGAAGGAAATGATCTCAACACTGTGACGTGAAAGCCGCTTGGCGGTCTGCACGCAGCAGCTGGGCTGCGTTTTGGCCCTCTTGAGGTCCAAGAAATCAGTCCAACAAACAGGCCTTGAGGGAGAGTTTGGCCTTTCGGACGAGTAAATCCGACGGGTTGTCCTTTGAACACTGGATGTCGGAGGTGATGTGTCAGTCCGGCATTCAGTGAGTGCTGTTCTGATTAGACATAAAGACGGCACCATACTGCTGGCAAACACTAAAAATTCTGTGGTAATATATATAACTGGGAACTCCATCCACCCCTCCCCCACCCTGCTCAGCCAATTTCAGGACCCCCATCCGGTCAGCAAAATCTGCATTATGAGAGTCCAGTCAAGACAGGGACTAAAACCACAGAAGAAGAAGAGTCTCATTGTTGGTGTGTATCTGCATCATCTCTGGCCGCTGGTGGGATAACATGGAAATAACTCGTTCTAATATAGACTTTACAGCAAAGATAGACTGTGAAGCTCACATTTCTCTCTGAAAAATAGCTACTGGTTTTATCATCACCCCACCCTATATTTCAGTTCAGTGCCTTTAGCCTGAGTATTTTGCAGGAATTTGCTCAATTTTCATAATCGTCTTAGAAGTTCAGGTGAAGTGCCCTCCCTCAAGGGTCCAATAGCCATGCCATGTCTTTGACGAGGGGCGAGCAGCCATAAGGAGGCCCTCAGGCTAACACTGGAGTGTTACTCCGACGGGCATGGTGTCGACTGCAGGGATAGCCCAACACTTCCCAGGAAACGGTGTGCGGCTGCAGCTGACTAAGGTCCTGGGACAGTCAGCACATGGAGGTTCAGGGTCCAGCTGCATTCAAGCTTCATTAGATAGGGGGAAGCAGCCAACGGATTTGACCAGGGATGATCCTCCTGTCCAGGGAGAAGCCGTCACACTCATCTCACTGGATCGGCACCTGGAGGTCAGTCCGGTGTTCTGGCTGACTCCTCCTGTAAAAGGGGTGGTGGGGGGGGGGGGGCTTAAAACTCTAAGAAACCCCCTCAGTGGTTTCAGAGCAGGGCCTATCCTGGAGCTCAGGCCCACATGTTCAGTCACAGGCTTGGTTCCTTGGCTGTCAGCTGGGTTGGACCTGCCACATTTCACCTATAATCCTATTTCATTAACCTTTTGGCTACCTTCTCTCATGAGCCTAAGCCTGGTCCCTGAAAGACTTGGCCCCCTTCTGGCCTGGATCTGCAAAGCTTTATAGATAAGCCTGGTTCCTTAACCACGCGGCTGCCTACTGATCCTTGCCAAGTCATTAGGCCAACTGATCCATAGTGTCACTCAATTAAGCAAACATAGAGGGTTATAAACAGGAATCACCTGGGACAAGGTCCAGGCCCCTCCATGGACCTCCGCTAGATAAATGATCAGAAGATGGATGGATGGATAGATGGATGGAAATATTTATAAAATTATGCTATTCCCAGTGCCATTTATGTAGTGCTTTAATAAATGATGTTCCTGCAGGGAACTGAAGAGTGAGATGAGCCCCCCTGGTCGAGGGGGGTGCATTTTGTGGGGTTGGGATGACACAGGTGGCCGGACCACAGAGTTACACTGAGAAGTTTTGTTATCCCCTCGTTTTAGTTTCTAAAGCCATTGTGAATCTGTGGAGAACATCAAACCATCTGTGGCCCGGGGGTGGGGAGATGCTCTCTCATTTTGGGTGGTACCAGGAGAAATTGGCATGCAGAAGACACCTGTGGATATCTTACGAGATCAACACTGCAACACAACAACAGACACCCCCACCGAGTTTCTGTGCCACAATAACCAACAAACATTAATGAGATGATTAATGGCCTAATTTATGATGAAGACATGTGTGGCAATATGCCGATTGATGCTCCTGAGGTCAATGCCCTGCCTAAGGCTGGTCTGAACTTGGTTTGACCTATCCAGCTAACCTGAGGATTTCTGCCAAATGCCATTGCATTTCTATAATTAACAGTTATTTGTCATGCCAATTTTTATGTATTGTTTTGCCCCAAGGCTACATAGATTGCTGCTTTTACACATTTTGAGTCCCTTAGCTTTGAATAAAGCTTAAGGCTGTACGGCTCTTTCTGGGAGCAGAAGCCCAGACTGCAGCCAACCTCAAGGCGGCTGTGTGGAATAACTCCGGAATCGCCACCGAAACCACCGCCGTGGCATTTGTAAGTCAGACTATCAGTATCAAACCACACAAAATGATAGTGATCAACAGATATCTGCCCACACTTAGGTTATCTTGCAGGCCTTGCATGTGGTGCTGGTGAGAAGATTAACTACACTGCAGTAGACCCTCATCAGTGAGAGGTAGATGATGCACATGATACATGAAACCAAACATTATGGATTAAGTTAGTGCTCTGCTTGTAGTAGTAACCATTTCAGATAGCTGTAATCAGAGGTCTGCGAAGGGCTAGCATCTTGTCCAGGGTGTCCCTAGCTTTGTGCCCAGGGCTGCCTGGAATAGGCTCCTGGCCTTCTCAAGACCCAGATCACAATAAGTGGATGGATGGATGGATGGATGGATGGATGGATGGATTTTCAGGCAGCATAGTGCATAAGCCAAGGTTCACCCTGAATGGAATGTGGATAAAATTGCCTGTGTGATGCTATTGTCTTCCCTGTAATTTCACTCTCTTCCCTCTAATCCCACTGTGTCCTTTGTCTTCCCAGTTTATTCCCTTTAATCCCAGTATCTCCCCTTCTTCACCGTATTTAATTCCACGCCCCTTCCCAGTGATCCCAAAGTCTTCCCTGTGATCCTTGCATCCAACCTCCTCTCTCTCTCTCCACCCAGTCCACTAGACCCCACAGAAGAACACATATTTGTCCCAGCTGGGGGGCTGCGTGGGCTCGGGCTGGGAAGACATGAAGATGAAAGGGAGCCTCTTAATTACTGAGACAGGCGACTCCACTCCTCCCCACCCCTCTGCCCGTCAGACACCGTGAAGCGATGCCACCCAAATCAGTTCTGCTTTCTTTATATCCTGCAGAACCTGTATCAGCCCAACCTGCCGATTCTTAACCACTGCTGACAAAACAGAACAGCTTGGCAATGAATATATGATACAATCTAATAATAAGAGCAAGAGGGTTTAGGGTAAGAGAGTATTTTTAGGTTTAACAACCTGTGAAACCTGTTAAATGCTTAAAAATAACAATGCAAGACCTTCCCCATTCACAAGAAAGTTTCTATATAACATATAACAGCTGCTAGGGGATTCAATTTGTAAGCATGTAACGTGAAATAGTTTCTAATAAAATGTTACGTTATTGGATTTTGGATTTTACAGCAGGTATTTTATTGAAAGCAAATTAATAAACTTTTTTTTTTCGTCGGAGTTTGATGGCTTTTTGATGGAGTGGTTCAGCTCAAGGATTTTCCTCAGGGGTCCGACCGATTTGCTTGAATCGCAGCACGACCAGGTGGTCTGGTGCTTTCGGTACAGCTGATCATGGGAGGACAGGCAGGGAGCAGGGATATAAAACAGGACCACCAGGCAGGTGTCAGACCCAGAGAGATCCGCGGTCCCAGCCTCGGGGGGCAACCTGCATTCCAAAGAGATCCAAATGCCCAGAACCGCTTGAATCACCACCAAGAGCTATCTGAGAGCCTGGCCATTTTCTGGAACCTTCATCACCGAGGGATGACACGATAAGTGATTATTATACCAAAGCAAGGAAAAGCAACAGGGGACAATGTCACAAAGCCCAACAGCAGGAAACAGGAATTGTGTAAACAAGGGCACATTGCAGATTGGTAAAATTAGCAACTTTTTTACCCCCCAGTTCCATTACTTGGTAATTATCTGAAGATGATCCTTGGCTGGCAGGTAGGAAAGAGCACCCCCTCCCCCCGTACACTTAGCAAGCAGTGGGATGGCATACTGCACACGCTCAGTATGGTGTTTCTCCATTGGCCCCGCCCCCTTCCCTGTGACGCTAAGCCTCGGAGCTGCAGTCACACAGCTTCCCTCCACTGCCTGGTCTCTGGTAGAGCGGGTTGGGGAAGGAGAGGGAGTGCGAGACCTGCACGGGACACATGGAACATGACGTCACCATTAGCATGGGCCTTAGTGATCTGAATAGAACCAAAACTGGGAATGTTAATAACATATGAGACCTACAGTCATACACCTCAACCAGATATTTCCATAAATATGCAAAGACTGCCTGGAAATCCCTTTCATCCGTTATACTAGATAAATGAAGGAAATTAAAGAAGAAGTGCCCCATTATTATAGGTGAAAAGTGAAAGTTAGTGACTGTAAGTGAAGATGTTTGGTCACAAAAATATATTTCAGAAAGTTTGCAGTATTTCTTAAAATGCCACTGATGAAGAACTACCAGTTCCAGAAAATGTCAGGCAATTTTATTTAAAAAAACTGTTAAATGTCTTGACTAAGTTTGTTATTTTGAAATGTCCCAGTTATTTATAGGTGAGGTCTGTACTTTCCTTTTCCTGTTAAAATTCTGGAAGAGGGTTGAGTGTCTCTGCCAAACAGAGTCAGACCATGAGCGCCATCGTCTGGATGTCACATGCCCATATCCGTGAACCTAAAATTATTTGTAGGGAATGTAGGCATATTTTAAGCCTACCTCAGCGTCGCTCAGCCAGGGGTAGACGCTGACGAGAATCCTGTCAGTGGTGGGGAGCTGAAATAAAAATGAATCATTTGATGAATATGGGAGCAGCTGCTGGTTTATCGGGTGAGGTTGGGATTTGCTGCTGGTTGATCGGGTGAGGTTGGGATTTGCTGCTGGTTGGTTGCATGAGGTTGAGTTTTGCGCATGTAACTGGGTCTTGCTGTCGTTTAGGTGCATGATTGCTGATTAGCTGCTTATTGTCTGAATGACGTTGGGCTTTGCTGCTGGTTGGCTGAATGAGGTTGGGTTTCGTTCCTGATTTGTTGGATGAGGTTGGACTGTGAGGACCGATGGTTGATGTTCATATCTGATTGGCCGGCCAGTGTGAGGTTTAATGGGAAACATAGCTCAGCATCCATTGTTAGAATGCATTAAAATAAAAAGTATTTTAAAACACAGTGATAGGAAGTAATGGATTTGATCCAAAGAGGACTAAGCCAAGCCATCGGGGTTTGCATTTAGGTAAAATCTGTTTCGTTCAATTCACAAGAACAGATCATTCTTGCAGTAAAGAAATTGTACTATAAATAAGTACAGATATTATAATCCATAATGCAACATCATGGAAAATAATTATGTAAAATCAAATTGACACACTCAGTATGGGAAAGTAAATTAGAATACAATGTATGAGAAAAAGAATAGAAGAGTCAACACGTACCTCAGAAAGTGAAAAATAGAGCAATTACTGCAGATCACATTAGTTAACCACTAAAATATCCAATTACATGGCAAGTAGAAGCAGACGTTTGGTGAATCCAACACTGTAGTTTTTTTCTTAGTTAGGAAGAATCACATCTTATTCCCTGAAAAGCAAAGAAATGAGAACCACTCATACCTTGTGGTCAGAAAGGTCAGCGGTCGTCTTCTCCACAAGCCTGCTTTGCATTTCGCTCGGTCCCCTGCCCCTGTCCACCCCAGAAAAGGAACAACCAATGAACAGTGAGATTCTGACCATATGTTTTATGTTGTAGAAATAAACATATCACGGCACCATCCTCAACTCACGTGAAGCATTGGTACTTTATCTGCAGGAGGACCAGAATAATGGCAGTGACTCCGCCCACCAGGAGCATTAACCCCGCCCCCAGGACTCCACGCATGGCATCTGTGCCAGATTAGCATACAGGTTAATATGTCTTTTAATGTGATGCGTAACAATGATTAAAATCAAATCAAATAAGTAATAAAACAGCGTCCAGGAGACAGAACGCCATCCCTGATCTCCCCGTCTCTCAGCCAGGAAATCATGCCAATTTATTCCTGATATCCCTGGCCGTGAGATTTGTTTTCAAGATGTAGACATAATCATCACAATAGCTCTGCAGGTCAATAACTGCCCCCCACCCCCACCACAAGCCTTACCTGGCCCAGTAACCACGGGAACTGAGGGAGAGGTCGGCAGGGGGTGTTTTTCCCTCAAGTGGCACCGTCTGCCCGTCCATTTGGGGGAGCATCTGGAAGGGGACGAGGCAGACGGTCATGAGACTCATATAAACTTGCCAAGATCATGACCTTCTGCTGTGACCTTAAACACAGAAAGCTTCTCTAAAGCAGTGTTTCCCAATGCAGTCCTCCGAGCAGGGAGCTGGTAGGGAGCAAAAATGTGGACTGCCTGGCAGGGTACTGGGAGGGAGCAAAAATGTGGACTGCCTGGCAGGGTACTGGGAGGGAACAAGAATGTGGACTGCCTGGCAGGGTCCTGGGAGGGAGCAAAAATGTGGACTGTCTGGCAGGGACCTGGGAGGGAGCAAAAATGTGGACTGTCTGGCAGGGTCCTGGGAGGGAGCAAAAATGTGGACTGCATGGCAGGGAGCTGGGAGGGAGCAAAAATGTGGACTGTCTGGCAGGGTACTGGGAGGGAGCAAAAATGTGGACTGCCTGACACGGTCCTGGGAGGGATCAAAAATGTGGACTGCCTGGCAGGGTACTGGGAGGGAACAAGAATGTGGACTGCCTGGCAGGGTACTGGGAGGGAGCAAAAACGTGAACCTTCTGTTTGTCCCCAAAGACCAGGCTGGAAAACACTGCTCTAAAGGAAGAGCTTCCTGCATCCACACACACAACACAGAAAAATCTCTGCTAATAATCGATGACTACAGAAAAATCTCAACTCAGGTGATAATCAATAACTACAGATGAATATGACAGTTCAGTACATAGTATGACCTCAGATGTATGAATCAATCAATCTTTAGGCCTTCAAAAATCCATCCACTCATCTTCTAAATGCTGATCCAATACAGGGTTGTGGGAATTTGAAAATGAAGACCTGTCAGGAAGGGGGTGGAGTAATTGTGAGCATCGGGCGATGTGTCAGGTGACACCCTGACGACAGGCCCTGCCCCCTTGCAGAGTCCCCCCCCATCCCTAAGCCGTCTTGGAGCTGCCGGATCGGTGAGGCTGGCTTTCCGGTGATCCGCAGCACCCCCAGTCCCGCGTTTTGCTATTCTTCAGTGTCAGCACTGACAGTAATGGATAGACTAGAGGTGTGATGATTCCAAGCTGCACTATACCTGCATTATACACTCGACAGATTAATACATCACTTTAATTATGTGCCGGAGAGAGCCGACAATTACAACGCATCTGTGTACATTTATAATTTACTGAACGAGCAGGACTGGCATGCTGGCTCAGTGGGTAACACTGTCACCAAGCGCCGCCAGAATTGTGGGTTTGAATCTTGCGTGTGTGTGGAGTCTACAAGCTCCTCCTGGGCTCTGTGGGATTATTCCATGTTCTCTGGTTTCCTGAGAAACATGCCATTAGATGAACTGAAGTCCCTATATTGCTGGAGTGTGTGTCCTGTGTGACACACCAGCATCCTGACTAGAGTGTCTCCTGCCTTGTGCCCTGTATTTCCTGGGATAGACTCTAGGGTCATGTGACCTACTGTATGAGGGATGCAGACAAACGCTGCAGAAAAAAAGGCTGATGCTGAGATCCTGCGCAGGGCACAGATGACCACAGGGCGGCAGGGCGTCCCCAGCTCGCACATGGCCATTTCACTGCAGCAGTGGACTCCCAAGCACATGGCCATTTCACTGCAGCAGTGGACTCCCAAGCAAATGGCCATTTCACTGCAGCAGTGGACTCCCAAGCAAATGGCCATTTCACTGCAGCAGTGGACTCCCAAGCACATGGCCATTTCACTGCAGCAGTGGACTCCCAAGCACTGGGAGGGTTTTAGTCTGGGGTCCCCACACACAACGAGGGCATAATGACCGGCACTATCTCGGTAAGTCAACCTTAAATGTTAATGCAGCCTTTCTCAATACAGTTCTTAGGGATCCCACATTTTGCAGCCCACATTTTGCACCCTCCCAGCTCCCAGCCAATCAAGAACATCGAAAACCTGGCACACCTAGCTGGGAGGGAGCAAAAAATGTGGACTATTGGAGCTCTCTGAGGACAGGGATGAGAAACACTGAGTTAAGACATTTATAAGGCGCGGAATGTGAAAACTCAAGCATTAGTGCGGGTTTAAATCACATTTACAATGTCTGTATCTATTAAAACACTGATCCCGGACTCAGTGGGAACAGTTAATCCTAACGGTATGACATGGAAAACAAGTCTACGGGAAAACCGGGTCATCTCCGGGACAGAACCACGTGAGGCTGAACTGTGGGGTGGGGAGTATATGGCAAAAACCTCAGGGCGGGGGGGGGACGACTCATATCTACATTAAACAACATTTAATGACGTGATACCCCCACCTACAAACACATGGCTAATATGATAATAATATAACTATAGGAAAGTACGCCTTCAGCTAAACACCCCTCCCAGCCCCCACCCCAGACCAGAGAATGCTTAATACCGCTTAACGTGACTAGGCTAATTGCCTCTCCTGATACCCTGTCCTTCTTGCTGTTAGTGTGGTTTGGGAGGGGGGACTGAGGTCAGACAGCGCCCCCCCGAAATCCAGGCCATCAAGACTCATGAAGACATGGCTCTGGTGGAGAGGATGCAGACTGGGGGGGAGAGGTACCTCCTGACAGCATACTAGTAAATTCTGACCTAGTTTTGCAAGTTTCAGAGGCTCTTGTCAGGTTTGGTTACTTCACAGCAAGAACCAGCAAGATAGTTACCTGCTTAGCTCATAAACAGCTAAGACAGTTTTGGCTGGATTTTAAGCCTTAGGGACTGCTGAATTACCTGTGATGGGGGGTTATTTAATGAGGGCAGTATAAACACAAGATGAGGTTCACACAATTAATCCCATTTGGATCTATTCCTTCCCCAGAGGAAAACTCCAACTCGCCACATTGCCCCCTCCCACTACCAGCTATGTGGTTCATCGATTCCTAGATCAGTATCAGGGATAATTAACTTTAATGTGTCCTGTTTCCTTTACAGCTCTGGAAAAAATTAAGAGACCACTCTAAATTTTTTTTTTAAATCTGCATTTTTAAATCCCGGTATAATCCTGGTCCCGCTGGCCGAAGACTACATGGTAGGCTGCTTTCGAGCAAAGACAGCAGTACACTAGAATGCTGTTCTTGGTGAGGAAGAGAGATCTTACCCAAAAGACAGAGAGAGAAAGATCCTGTTATCATGAGACAGAGAATGATTCTGTCCTAATGACATAGAGAGAGATCCTGTTATAATGAGTTAGAGTGAGATCCTGTCCTAAAGATATATAGAGAGAGATACTGTCCTAATGACATAGAAAAAGACACAGACAAAGAGAGAGGGAGAGAGAGATGGAGATCCTGTTATAAAGAGTGAGAGATCCTGTCCTAATGAAACAGAAAGAGATCTTGTCCTAATGTAATTGATAATTTTGTACAGTATTAATTAAAAAAACAAGAATTGAATTGATGATCAATTATGGTATACATAATTAGTTATAAGCTGCTATGATGTAAACTTCAAATCCATGTTACATGGAAGGTTTGATTACTATACCATATTCAATAATTGTCCTCTGGGTTGATTAGTAGATACTAGGGGGAGAATGGTGAGCGGTTGCATCCGAGAGATGCAAGAAGAATACAGAAGTCACAAGCAAGAACTTGTTCGTGTGCTTTCATTTAATTCACCCACGTCCACACTACCTGCACAGCTACAAACTAAATATACTAATGAAAGAAAGAGAGAGAGAGAGAGAAAGAGAGAGAGAGAGTGACCCTGCCCTAATGAGACAGAGAGATATCCCCTCCTAATGAGATAGAGATCTCACGTTAAGGAAAGAGAGATGATTCCCTGATGAAATAGAGAACTCCTGTCCTATGGACAGAGAGCATGGGTCGTAATAAAAGAGAGAACGATGGTGAGCTAATGAAAGAGTGAGAGAGAGACAGAGAGGGAGAGCGAGAGAGAGACGGAGCAAGGAATTTGGCCTTATTCCCTGCCCAGTCGGGTCTGGAACTCATTCTGTAGCCAACAGAAGTGACAGTCCTGCTTCTGCAGGAGTCCAGGGATTCCAATTCAGGATTTCCGCCGGCACCTTCTGCTACAGACGAATGTGTTCGGGCTCAGCATCCAAGCCAAGCCTCTAACGCAGCTCGGCCCCTCTAACCCTCCAGCACAGTTCCGGAGTACCCCACCTGCCAGGTCTCACCTGCATGTCGGTCCAGTGAGCTCCAGATGGCAGGTGCCTCCATTCATGCAGTATTCCAGGGGGCAGACTGGCAGGAAGAGAAAGGCATGTGAGGTTGTTGCAGGAGCCAGACCCACAGCCTTAGAGGGAGTTAGGGTTACCGGGGTTAGGTTTAGGAAAGACTTCTTCTCCCACAGCCCCCCAAAACAAAAGGTTAGAATTCCTATCTGTATTTTTCCTGGAATTCCTTAGGAGAAGGTCTGTGGTCCCTATTTTCCTCTGTTGTGGTTTGTTGGTTTGTTTCCTTTATTGGTATGTTTAGAGTTAGGGATTAAAAAGTCCACAGCAAAGCAAGTCCACTAGCAGGAAACAGGGCTGAGCCAGTGTAGGGTGGGGAAGGCAGGCTGTGGAAGGCCCTGGGCTGCTTGGCATTCTGGGTAAGGGAGAAGTACACCTCCCCCACCATGTACACACACACACAGCTGATAGTTTAAGGTGAGGAGAGAAGCAGCTCACTGTGGCAGCTGGACTCATCGGGCTGAAAGGCCGGGCAGTCAGGGGTGCCGTCACAGAGTCGCCAAGGGGGGAGGCAGTCTGCTGTGTCCTCGCAGAGCAGGCTGTCGGCAGGGCACCTGCGGAGGGCTGGGGGGGGGCACGGCACACACCAGGGGCTCATCAGCAACCACAGTAAGGAGTTCTGGCCAAATCCAAACAAGCACTGAACTTCAGCCCGGAATGTTGCTGGTGTTTATCACAGCTCAAGCCAATAGTGATGGAAACAGCAACTCTCTGAGAGAAGCTGGATCTTATGACTCCTGTTTTTCTCAGAGAGTGGGGGTACTAGGGTTAGCTACAAAAAAATTACTACGATGATTGGGCAATATTTGGATCAAATTTACCCTGGACACCGGCCTCACAGCGGCTGCAGCTCTGCTGCTACAAGGAGTTTACATTTGGTAATGGCCATCAATAACAGACTGTTTGACTTCATTTCATTAGAAATTTAATTTCTATTTAGTTTGCACAACAACTTATCGACATAATATAATTATAGCCTACACTGGGATTTCTGCTCTGACTTTATCGTACACATGCAGCCTCCACTTTCTCGTTGAATACCATATTTTGGAAAAATGGCTAAAATATGAATATTTATATTTGTTCATGTCTATGATATATAGCTTAGACATGGAAATTAAAGGGAAAGGTGTCAGTTGTGTAACCTGTTTGATGTCAGTATGAATATCAACAGACTCTTTAATTGTCTGTTTTTGCGGAGAACTGCTGACCTCAGCCATGCTGAGACTCTAGATGAGGCATCGCTGCCGTGAGTCGTGAGTCATATCTGAGATACACGCCTCACACCGGCAGCTTGGCTGCTCTGATCT